TCGGCCTGGAGACTGCCGAGCTCTCCAGCCAGCTGGCCTGGCAGCTGCTCCCAGGCCTGGCCTCCCTGGCTCCATCAGGAGCAGCACTGTGCTCTCAGACACAGGGCTGGAAATGACTGGCATGTCAAAGCCTCAGCCTCGGATCCATGCAGGACTCCGGGGACAGGGCCCAGGCTCCTTGAAGGGACCTACAATGCCAGCCATGTCCCTGCTGGACTCGTGGGTCCCTGTAGAGTCCTCTCGCCGGTGCCATCACCCCACACCGGGCCTTACCTTCAAGTCTTGGCTGTCTGCCTCCCGCAGCTTCTGGAGCCGGAAGTCCCCCTCGCAGGGGTTGAGGGCGGACGGGGGCGCGACGCAGGCACACTTGCAGGACGAGCCGGACGTGATGGTCTCCACCGTGTAGAAGTCGTCCTTCCCGTAGGCCCCGGCGTTGATCCTCTGGCAGGCGTCTCGGCCCAGGGGTCTCACCACACACTTGCACTGACAGTCAGAGCCCTCGGACACGGCCTTGACCTTGTCATAGTCCCCCAGCAGCTGGGCAAGAAAGAGAACGGGGCGGGGATTCGGAGACGCAGGCCACACTCGGCCCTGGCGGAGGCTCTCCGTCTCTACTGCACGCCTGCGCTAGCCCGAGACCTCAGGCGGCTCAGAGCCATGGAGAGGACAGGTCATCGCAGCGCAACTGACTGGCTCGCCTCCTTGCAGGCTCGGAGTTCAGCCCTCTGCGTTTCTCAGGGGGCCTGAGCCTTCCGTCATCTGAAGGAAAAGATGAGTCCCACCCTTTCCCCCAGAACCCATGCTTTCAGCTAGAATCCAGGTTTAGACCAAAGAGGAAAAGAAGGGGTTGAAGGGAGGATTGGAAGGTTGGTATTCAGGTGTGAGGACTCCTGGCTTCTCTCTTTACCCATTCTTTTTCTTCTTCATGTTTTTGTCATAGGGCATGTCCACACACCAAAGAGACAGAGAAATAGACAGAGAGAGGGACAGTGAGAAATCAAAGTGATGGCCATGCTGCAATCCCTTCTCCTCTATTCTCCTCTCAGGGTTCTGGGCGTGCACACACACACACACACACATGCACACACACCTGGCGTGATTTTTCATGCTGACCTTGAACCTTAGCTGGCCACGTGGGAGTCCACTGCCTCAACCACCATGCTGTCTGCTAGCCTCTCATTTTTTATTTTTTATTTACTCATTTATTTCTTCCATGAGAGAGAGACAGAGACAGAGAGACAAGCATACCTATCAGAGTCTCCATGCCACAATCTACACCCAGCCCAGCTGGCCCAGATCCCAGGTACACACGCGCCTGGTGTGCTCAGGGAGTCCTAGGACACAAACCCAGGCCCCTTCCCATGCGGGTCCATTCCCATTACTGCTTGTTCCTGCCTGGCCCTCTTGACTCATTTGGCACTTACTCCCCTCTGGGCTGCAGGAGGTGCTGTGAGAGGAGACGCCACAGAGCCTGCTCTCAAGGGTGGCCGGGGAGGACCCCCCCCCCCCCCAGCCATAGGATAGAGTGAGACATGCCCTGAGGAGGCAACGATAAAGCAGGAGCTAAGAGTGGCTCCCACTGGGGACCAGGGAAGGCTTCCTGGAGGAAGTGGTATTTGATCTGGGCTTCAGAGGATGGATTAGATTTGGAGAAAGGGAGCTGGGAGGAGAGAAACAGGTCCACCAGTTAGTAAGGTTTACCCAGCCTAAGGGTTCATTTAGTTCCTAGAACAGCTTCTGAACCCGAACCCAGGCCAAACCCAGGAGAGCAAACCGGTAGTGCTTGCTGCTTCGGCGTTAAACATCGGCCTGGAGACTGCCGAGTTCTCCAGCCAGCTGGCCTGGCAGCTGCTCCCAGGCCTGGCCTCCCTGGCTCCATCAGGAGCAGCACTGTGCTCTCAGACACAGGGCTGGAAATGACTGGCATGTCAAAGCCTCAGCCTCGGATCCATGCAGGACTCCGGGGACAGGGCCCAGGCTCCTTGAAGGGACCTACAATGCCAGCCATGTCCCTGCTGGACTCGTGGGTCCCTGTAGAGTCCTCTCGCCGGTGCCATCACCCCACACCGGGCCTTACCTTCAAGTCTTGGCTGTCTGCCTCCCGCAGCTTCTGGAGCCGGAAGTCCCCCTCGCAGGGGTTGAGGGCGGACGGGGGCGCGACGCAGGCACACTTGCAGGACGAGCCGGACGTGATGGTCTCCACCGTGTAGAAGTCGTCCTTCCCGTAGGCCCCGGCGTTGATCCTCTGGCAGGCGTCTCGGCCCAGGGGTCTCACCACACACTTGCACTGACAGTCAGAGCCCTCGGACACGGCCTTGACCTTGTCATAGTCCCCCAGCAGCTGGGCAAGAAAGAGAACGGGGCGGGGATTCGGAGACGCAGGCCACACTCGGCCCTGGCGGAGGCTCTCCGTCTCTACTGCACGCCTGCGCTAGCCCGAGACCTCAGGCGGCTCAGAGCCATGGAGAGGACAGGTCATCGCAGCGCAACTGACTGGCTCGCCTCCTTGCAGGCTCGGAGTTCAGCCCTCTGCGTTTCTCAGGGGGCCTGAGCCTTCCGTCATCTGAAGGAAAAGATGAGTCCCACCCTTTCCCCCAGAACCCATGCTTTCAGCTAGAATCCAGGTTTAGACCAAAGAGGAAAAGAAGGGGTTGAAGGGAGGATTGGAAGGTTGGTATTCAGGTGTGAGGACTCCTGGCTTCTCTCTTTACCCATTCTTTTTCTTCTTCATGTTTTTGTCATAGGGCATGTCCACACACCAAAGAGACAGAGAAATAGACAGAGAGAGGGACAGTGAGAAATCAAAGTGATGGCCATGCTGCAATCCCTTCTCCTCTATTCTCCTCTCAGGGTTCTGGGCGTGCACACACACACACACACACATGCACACACACCTGGCGTGATTTTTCATGCCCCTGGGACTGAACTTGAACCGTAGCTGGCCACGTGGGAGTCCACTGCCTCAACCACCATGCTGTCTGCTAGCCTCTCATTTTTTATTTTTTATTTACTCATTTATTTCTTCCATGAGAGAGAGACAGAGACAGAGAGACAAGCATACCTATCAGAGTCTCCATGCCACAATCTACACCCAGCCCAGCTGGCCCAGATCCCAGGTACACACGCGCCTGGTGTGCTCAGGGAGTCCTAGGACACAAACCCAGGCCCCTTCCCATGCGGGTCCATTCCCATTACTGCTTGTTCCTGCCTGGCCCTCTTGACTCATTTGGCACTTACTCCCCTCTGGGCTGCAGGAGGTGCTGTGAGAGGAGACGCCACAGAGCCTGCTCTCAAGGGTGGCCGTGCAGGGAGCCCACACCTACCAGCCATAGGATAGAGTGAGACATGCCCTGAGGAGGCAACGATAAAGCAGGAGCTAAGAGTGGCTCCCACTGGGGACCAGGGAAGGCTTCCTGGAGGAAGTGGTATTTGATCTGGGCTTCAGAGGATGGATTAGATTTGGAGAAAGGGAGCTGGGAGGAGAGAAACAGGTCCACCAGTTAGTAAGGTTTACCCAGCCTAAGGGTTCATTTAGTTCCTAGAACAGCTTCTGAACCCGAACCCAGGCCAAACCCAGGAGAGCAAACCGGTAGTGCTTGCTGCTTCGGCGTTAAACACCTCCTGTGAGCACTCGCTCCTGCCAGACCCCCACACATACACACACAGAGGGGAACACCCACGGTCAGCCTTTCTGGACATCACCCCCTGCCCTGGGCACCTGCTGAGAAAGGCTCCCCCAGCTTCCTCCCAGCTCCTGTCCAACAGGCCCCACCTCCCCAGAGCGAGGGCTCCCTTCTCAGACCCCTCGTCTGACTCCAGAGGCCGGCAGACAGGCAGGCACTGAGCTCGTCCGAGTGGAATATTCCGTGGGATGCTGTCTGGGGGGAAGGAGGCTTGTAATGTTTTTCTTGCCAAGGTTGGGTTTCCTCTAATACTAATATTTGCTTTAGGGCCGTTGTCAAATGCAGACTGGATCCGTGGCAGAGGAGGTGCAGTTCAGGGTGACTGGAGTGGCAGCTAGCAAACCCCGGCTGCCCGCTCTGAGACCGGCCTACATGCCTCCACGGCCCTGCTCTGGGGACCCTGGGTGGATCTCTCCCTCCCAGGAGGCTCAAGTTTCAGGAACCCTTTGTCGATGGTGCTCCTCCGGAGCCCACATGAGGGATTTTTATCTTTTCAGTTTAAGGGCCAGTGCGAGGTCACGGGTGTGCGTGGGGCACACACCAGTGTCACTACTGGAAGAGAGGAGAGGCTTGTGTTCGGTCAATCTTAACATAGGGCTCATCGCTGTCTTCAGGAAGGAGAGGCGAGCTCTGGAGAGCATGAGATAGACAGTCCAGAGAGACCTGGCCCTGTGGTCCTGAGATCTGGGCTGAGGGCTGTCTGAGGCCGGGCTCGACCCCTTCTGGCCCTCTCCAGCCTTTTAAGGTCTATCTGTGGAACAGGTCCCAGGGTGTTCTGAGGACTGCATCAGAACAGACAGTGACACCTCCTTGCAAAACCTACCACTGTCACCTGTCACTTGGCCCCACTGACAGTCTGCCTGACCTGCACATCCACTGTGCCCCGCCAGCCCTCTGTTGGGGGGACTTTGCATCCATCCCACCCGTCTTCACCCCACATCCTGCGGTCTCCAGCTATGTGGTGAAACAGCTTCCCTGGCTGCCCTGTGCTCTCTGTAACAGACACCTCCTTGCAAAACCTACCACTGTCACCTGTCACTTGGCCCCACTGACAGTCTGCCTGACCTGCACATCCACTGTGCCCCGCCAGCCCTCTGTTGGGGGGACTTTGCATCCATCCCACCCGTCTTCACCCCACATCCTGCGGTCTCCAGCTATGTGGTGAAACAGCTTCCCTGGCTGCCCTGTGCTCTCTGTAACACACCCGCCTGTCCCCCCCCCCCCCCCACTTCGCC